GGTGGTACGGGTGGGTGGAGGGCGGCCCGCTGCGTCACACCAGCCCTGGGAGCTGGAAGCTGGTCTGTAAATTGGTACAGCTGCCCGTGGCAGATCAGACAGTCCAGGCAACTTAAATGCAAGGCCAGTACAAGGCTTGTCTGTGTGAGGGTGTGGGTTCATGGTCCCGTTCTCTGCCAGCCACCTCAAGGCTGTTTTTTGGCAACTTGGCAATGGTCCTCCCCTTTGAGTGTGGAGAAGAGCACCTTCCTTGGTGAGATGAACACTTCGCTCACCTGGGGCTCTGCTGCAAACCTGGAAAAGACAAAGACAGGGACTGTGAGGGGGAGCTGAATGATACTGAGAGTGCAGGCAAGGTGAGCTTAGCTTGCATGAAGCAAAGTTGGTCCTGATGCTGCCACAGTCACCTGTGCTTATTGCCAAAGAGCCCGTCACCTGCAGTGTCTCCCACAGGACTCTAAGGAGATGGAGTTCAGCAAGGTTGGAGGCACTGGTGTCTCCTGCCTGCGCTGAATGTGCTGCTGCTCGCTGCTCAGCTGCCAGCCACAGCACGTTATGAACCATGCCAGCCTTGTCTGTTGTGTCCCAACACTTGCTGTGCTCTTCTTCCCTGCAGATGCCTTACCTGCTTCTGAACCCCTCCATGCCAGAGATGAGGCCTCGAATGTACCCGGTGTTTTTTGGAGAAAGCATTGAGGTCAGCCCTGAGCCTGTGCAGGAAATCAGGTACGGGTGGGATGGGCGGGTAGGTGGGGGTTTCTGTGTTCTTCCTGGTGCTTTTCCTTCTGCAAAAAATTAAAATGTGTTTACAAATGAGAGTCATGGTTATTTTGATAGGAATGGAGGGATAGGTGGGAGAGTAGTGCCTGAATTAAAGACACTGACAGCAGCAGAGGTGCAGAGGAAGAGGCAAGAACTGTAAGGAGGTTGTAAGAGAAGGCAACTTGCTGTCCAAGGCCAGCTCAGATCCAAGGGTATGAGAGAAAGCCATTGCCATCTCCAGGCTTGATGGCCTCCACTAAGTAACTTGATGGTCTTCATCCTGTTCCCTGCTGACTGCGATCCTCAGAAGAAGCAACACCCTTATAATTGGCACATGTTTTTGTTAGCCCTTGCAGCAAAGAAACCAACTTTAGACCAGCCCACAGAGACAGAATGAGCTCCTCCTGATGAGGAGATGGTCCCTCAAGCCAATGATGGAGGTGTTCTGACCTCCTGTGGGGCTGGTGCTGCAGCCAATGGAGAAACGTTGGTCTCTGCTCTTCTTTCACTCTTTTACTGGTGTGGAATGCAGTCTGCAAACAGCATGGAGCAGTTCCACACAGCTTGGGGCAGGGATGGTGGGAGGACTGTAAACCCAGTTCCCACCCCGCTCAACCTATGCAAACATCTCTCTGGAAATGTACCCCAGTAAATCTCTGCTTGCTGAGGAACTGCCAGCGGGCACGTTTTTATGGCGGTTACATCGCAGTCTTGTTTTATGTGTGCTGAATGACTTGTTTACACCCTGGCTGTGCAAAATACATCACAGCAGCTCAGATTACAGGCAGTGCTCGATCGGTCAACCCCTCTCCGGGTGGAGGTAACGACAAGCGCACACCCAGCTTTTAATCTTTTTTTTTTTACATGGAGCTGCACATTCCTTGGCTGCTGATTGCCCGAAGGAGCCTTTGGGGAGCGGGGTAAACAAGTGAAAGTCCACCCCAGGGACAGGGATTCTAGGAAAATGGAAAACAGGTGGAGCAGCGACATCCCATGTTTTGTGGGTTCTTCATCTGACGGCTGTTAACGTGGCCACTTCCTTTGAGACCAGTGGCTTGGATGCTGAACAGCCTTTTGCATCTCTTTGTTTTACCTGCTATTTGACTATTGCTTGGATTTTCTGTAGACCCCAACAAGCACCCCTCATCTCCTACCACTCTGATTTTAGCTAGCTTGGGCATCTTTGTGCTCTGATGGCAAGGCAATATAAAGAAAAAAAGACCAACACACAGCCCTCACAGCTCAACAGGTGTCCATTACACCATTCTTCTGCCATCTATGAAAACCTTATTTATGGCATTATTTTCCTACCTAGCCGGAGCTTGCATGGCCAGGAGGGCCTGTGAAAGCAGCAGCAGGCATGCTGTGTTGAGAAGTAGGTTCCCCATGACCCCGGTGTGACATCCCATGCCCCTGTCCCACCAGCAGCATCTATTCAGACTGGTCTCTGGGGCAGTGACACCCCCCAAGCCTAGCACTAGCAGTAGGGAGTGTGGTAAGACATCCTGTGGGTCAGCAGTTGGGGGACCTTTGCTTTGCAGGGGCCCTCATCGTTTCGAGTTGCTGCTGCATGGCTGTGCTTGTTAAATATGCTCAGGAAAGGCTGGATCAAGAATTTTCCTGGGATTTCAAGCTTTTCCTGCACAAACTATGGATAAATGTTCATTCCTCAGCCTCTGACTTACCCCAGCTGAGGGTTTTCACCACCTCTTGATGTCCTTTGCTAACAGGGTGATTGCCTCCAGTGTATCTCTCAAGGCTGAGCTGAGGCCCCAGTAGGGCCCATGGAGGAAACCAAAGGAAGAAGCAGATTGTTGGAGCTTGTGCAAAAAGGTCTTTTCTGCCCTGGAATGACCAGGCAGGCTTGGTCCTCTTTGCACATGCACTGCAGAAATGCTGAGATGGATTCACAGCAAGGTGGGGTTCCACTGAGGTTCACCAGCAGGAAGGAGTCCTCTTGGCCCTCTGCTTTGGGCTGTAGGATGGGTTGGCAGCCACCCCAGTGTCTGTGCAGTAAGAGGTCATAAACGTTGCCAACTCCAAAAGGTTAGAGAGGAGTCTTGCCTGTCTTCTCTCCTTTGCTGCCTGGGCTGTGTTGCTGATAACTTGCTGTCCTCTGTAGGTGCAATTCTGAGGTGAAGTATGACTCCGAGAAGCATTATCGAGATGACATCTTCTACGGCCCCATCCCCACTGTCACCACCTACAGCGAGACAGTCATTGCTGCTCCAAATTGCACCTGGCGGAACTACAAGTCCCAGCTGATCTTTGAGCCCCGCCAGAAGCCACTGAGGTTTCAGAGCACGACCATCATTTTTCCTAAGCGTGCCAAGAACATTTACCGGACCACCCTCAACTACAGCTTGGGTTGTGCCAAGCGTTGGTTTGCTTCCAGCGTGCAGCTGGAACTCTGCGAGGAAACCAGCCCGTGCGTCATCTACAGCGAGACCCTCTGATCTGCCCTGCCGCTGGCAACCTTGTGACCTCAAGGAGACTGTGGCCTTTGCTGGGGCTCTGGCTGGGCCTTCATTGATGGCAACTGAATATTAATGGCTGGAGAACACATCGTCTTGGGTGAGGCTGAACTGGCTGGGAGGAGGTTTGCAGAGCACAGGATGGTTTTGATCAGTGAGAGGCTGGCTTGTATTTCGCGCCGTTCCTGACATTCATGATCTGGATCTTATTTTTATTTTTTTCCAAGCATATCTATTTTTGACTTGTGTTTAGATGAAATCAAGATGACAAAGGACCCTGTTACCCGTAGCAGAGTGCTGCCTTCTGAGCTCTGTAGGTCTCGTCTAGCACATAGGTGTGACTCAGTGTAACCTTCAGAGCTATTTTGATCTCTGCGAAGGGAAGAGCACCTGCAGAGTCAGCATCCAGTCTGCCCAGTGTGCACCAAGCCAGGTCTCTTAGCGTTTAAACGTGGAGGAGGCGGTTATTTGTATCAATACACCACAGCTTGCTCCAACAGCTCACCTGAGAGATAGCTGCAGTATTACACCACTGCGGCAGCCTCAGGCCTAACTTACTGGGAGGAGTGGGGACTGTCACCAAGAAATGAGGAGGAAAACAGGCACAGAGTGCTCTTGCTAGCAACCAGATGTTCACATACCCCAGCAAGGCACAGCACAACCAGGAGATGGGAGGGAGGCCTTCTGTGACACATGGCCACCTCTTCTGTGAGCCCAGCCAAGAGTTTGCAGGGGAGATTGAGGGAACTGAGTAGCTGAAGGGCTGTTTTCTAAAAGTGTCCAAGTGATTTAGGAGCCCAGTGTCCTTTTTCAAAAGTACTGTCAGTCCAAGTGTGTCATGCTGTTTGTTGTCTCAGACACCCAATCTACAGGGATCTTTACACACTTGCAACCCTGTTGAGTTTCAGGGTGTAGCTGTATTGCAGAGAGGAGTGTAGTACAGGAAGATGCTATCTAGCTTCAAAGGAGCCAGCGCAGGGTCAACTCACGAGCAAAGTTGCTCACCCTCTCCGTAGTTTCCATACCTGTGGCATGGACAGCTTCACTGACTGCGGAGGAGCAGCCAGAATTTCTCAGTGTAGAGCTTCAAGTATTGAAAAGCCCAAATCTGTGCAGGTTTTCCTTAATCATTCAGGCTGTAGCAATTCAACAGGTTCTTCCCTAACAGCTGAGCTGTCTGAAAAAGGATCAAGAAACACTGAGAAAGCTGGAGTCACTGCAGCCATCCTAAGGTAAACCATTCCCTGCTCATGAATCACATCTCCCAGTACCTCTTCACTTTGGTAGCTCATTGAAAACCTGCAAGAGCCTGGATTCCTGCAAATATGTAACCTTTGAAAATGGCATGGAATTGTCTCCAGAAATCTTACCAAGAATTTTTGCATGCTGCTCAGAAGAGCCCAGACTTAGAAAATAACCACACAGCTCTGGAAATTAGTTTCCAGTTTTCCCTCTTCTAAACTTTCCATTTTGTTCCTGACTTGCTGCGAGTCTGATGAAGTTATTTCAGAACACAACTGAGCAGCCAAGTCTGAAAACCTATTAACAGTATCAACAAGACATAGCTGATTGACCAGAACAGTTGACACACAAACCCACAGAGATTTAAAAAGAAAAAAATTTCTTTAAAAAAAAAGCTAATTAAATGGTGACTTATACTTTTTTCCATCAGTTTCAAAATGCAGTGACCACAACTGTGACCTTTATGAAACAGAGTTCTCTTTTTTTAAGATGAAGCAAAGTTTTTCCACCAGAGGTAAATACAAGGTTTTTATATACAAACTTAAATGCTGACAGCTGAAGCATCATTAGTACTGAAAGATGTGTACTGTGGCAGTGACGACCTCTGCCTCTCTATTTGGGAGTTAGGACTTGGTAGGGAGAAATCCCTCAAAGGATTTCCAAGGCTTCCACCTACTGTTGAATTATTTTCAGCAACACAGATTATGTTTGTTATTGGTCAGATTTTGCTGTCACTGACTGTCAGCATCAAAGCCTGGAAAAGCAACATGATTATGCCATGAAGCAACCCTTCTCCCCAGAGCTCCAGCAAACACAAGTGCTGCAGTGTTAGCTTAGACAGCAGGGCAGCAGAAGCCAGGATGAATGTGGTCCCAGTACAATGTAAACTGGTGATGCACTTACCTGCTAGCTCATATTGAGGTCTAGTTTCACCAAGTGCTGGCGAGGAAGCCTTGTGGCCAGTGGAAATACTCATCTGCCTTCCTGGGTACGTCATGAAGGCTCTGGAGGGCTCTTTCCATGCACCTGTGAGAGTCTGTAGCAAAGGCTTCCAAGCTGAGCAATGGTGTAATCCAGGTTCAGAAGCAGGGGCAATACTCATACCCAGCAGATCCCTGCATGATGATGGATGAGATTGCAGGCACCTCCAACTCAGCAAGCGTGGAGACAGGCTGACCTCCAAGCTGAAGGGATGCCAGAGACTCCCTATTCTGACCATGCATCAGGCTTTTCTCCTGTTAACAGCTGGATTAGTCTCCTGTTCCAAGCACAAAGCTGCAGTTTTTGATTGTGCTGGTCTTGGAGCAGGACAGGTTTCCCCCAGAAAATCTTTTATCATGGCCAGCTGCAAGCTTCTGCCTACTTTGTCCACTGTTAGTTCTGCTTCCTAAATGTTGGCTGCAACAGAAAAAAAGAGAATTGAAAAAAAAAAGAATTTTTAAAAAGCCAGAAAACTAGTGTGTGAATACAAATCCAGTGCAGAGACCTGAACTATAGCCTGGTCTTTCACCACGCAGGGAGGGTGCACTGGAGGGCTGCATCCTTGGCACTGTAGGGTCCCCACATGTCCAGGCCAGGCCTCTTTGAAGCTTCATGCTTTGTTTTCTCTCCAAATAGACTAGAAATGACCTAACATGCTCCTGCTCCATTGAGCTTAAGCAGCTTTTCTGGTCTTGCCATGTCAGGAAAAAAAAGCCAGTCGGCAACTTGGGTTTCTCAGCTGCCAAACACACTTTGAGCTGTGTAGCCATGGACAAGCCATGGTGGGCTACCACCCTGGACCACATCCAAGCTGTGACATTGCCAAGTGCCTGAGATCTGTAGAAATATTTTAATAATACCTTCTTATATGATGTTTCCCCTGGGCCCATCACTAGCTGCTTTTCTTCTCAGTGAAAGCTGGCGCTGGAAAGGGACTTTGTTTTTCCTGAGCACAAGAAAACCACAGAGGGTCAGGTCTTCACCCTCATGTGGGTGCAGATCCCACCCACCTGCCCACCCTCTGTCCCTGTGGCTGGGTTAGGCAGTGGTAGAAGAGACAAAATTTCATCTTACTCACGACTGGGAAAAGCAATGGCTGTTTTTGTTTTGCCTAAACACCAGAAACGGAATTTTGTGTTTGTGTGTTGCCAATTAAGAATTGCTCCCAGCAGCCAAGAGTTGCCTTGCCTGTAATATATCTGAACATCTAAAAGGAATGATTAGTCCCACTAGAGAGGTGTTTTTCTTTTAAATGGAGCATTTTCCATCTCAACCAACAGTTCTTTGTTCATGTGTGTTTTCTCAAAGCTACAAATGATAAATTTAGACCATGGAAATGCTGCTTAGAAAGGTGAGTTTCCTTGAGCAGCTGGGACTGTGGCTACATGATTTCTCCCCGGGATCTTTATGTGCCTGTTGCTCACAGTCCTGTAAGCCTGATAAAGTCAGACTGTGCCTTCAGGAATTATTTTCCATCAATAGTTATTTGTGAGATCAGAAACTGTCTCAGAAGGCATCTGTTTTGGGGAGGGGAAGGTAGTCACTGTCTGTCTCAAAGGTGAGGGGTTTGCCTTTCATCCCCTTCATTCCAGTGATTGTTTTGCCCCTGAATGCAACAGAGGATGCTTGTGTCTGCTCTGCCTGCATTGCTATCATTGCATTTGGGGCCAGAAAGAGGGAACCGTGGCTAAATACTGACTTTTCAGAATCTGCAGAGTACTTTGCACAAAACACAGAGAGCAACTTCGACCAAAACAGTTCACTGCTTCTTTCATCTTAATTTTTTTCCTTTTTTCTTCTCCCTAAGCCAGCTCTACTTTTCTCAATGTGAAATACAGACAGATTCGCACCCTAGGTGCATACTTTCTGGGAAGGATGAAATGAGGTTTGGGTGTTGATAGCAGTGTTTGAGTGAGCTGCTGGTCAGAGAAGTGAATGCTATTTACTATTTATGTTGAGTGTGTCTTAAAAAAATGGGAAAGGTCACTAGAAGGCTAGTGAGGAAAAGACTTTGTAGAGCAAACTGAGGACTAAAAGCTGAGTGAATCTGATCTAGAGGCGAATGGTTCTGTGTGTGAACACTGTGAGCTAGGATACTTAGCTGTTGTAGTTCTAACCCACCTTTTCTCCTGCAGGGAAGAGCATCTTTGCCCTCTTTAGAGCTGAAACAAAATAAGATCCATCCTCTGTCACAGTTATTCAGACCTACTGAAGTCTGAGCATCAGCGTTCCCCAGGCTTGCAGGGGACTTTGCGTATCAAGCACAGATACACAGAGCTGTCCCTGTGTGGAGACGGGGGGAACACTTCATAGGGAATGATGGGTCTGGTTGTGGGATATTCACATTTCTACTGCCAGATAAACTCTGCTCCCTGAGAATCACCCCATCACTCACAAATCAATCTGTTCTGAACATCTCCCCCAAAGCTCTCCAATAACCATGGTATTTTGTAACTCTTGGGAGGCACAGATTCCTTTTCAGATACTGTGGTGGCCATCAAAATGAGCAAAGTATCTTACCGTGTGAATCGTGACCTGAAGATGGGGCTGAAAGGTGTTTGAAGGTTAGAGAAGGAAGAAAAGAACATATTACTGGTGGAGATGCATAAGGATGTGTCATATTTTTATTTTTGTAAGTCTGATTCTCTTAAGTGCTTGTAAAGTACTGTTGTATATGTGGTGATGCAGTAGTTCACAATATCCTTTTATTTTTGTATATTCCCCCCTCCACAATAATCCCTTCCTGTTCAACTCATAGA